CTGCGCGCGGGGCCGCGCTCGGGGCCGGCGGCGACCGGGAAGCGGGCGGCCAGGGGAGGCCAGGACCCCGGCCCAACATGGCTGAAGTCAGCATCGACCAGTCCAAGCTGCCGGGAGTCAAGGAAGGTAGGGGCCGGGGCGCGCGGGGCCCCTCCCCTCTGCCGGCGCGGGCGCTCCCCGGGCAGGGGCGTCGTCGTGTCGGCCCCGCGGCCCGGGCACGGCGCCCACCGTGGGCTGGCCTGCCCTGGCCGGCGAGGGAGTTGCATTGAGGCTCTACTGTGGGACCTTGGGCAAGTCGCTTACATTCTAAGCCTCAGTTTCTTCCTGTGCAAGGAGATGGGGGAAAAGCGGATAGCACCACCCTCATCAAGTGGTTGTGAGAATGTTCCAGTGATTGGCAAAGCCTTTAAGGAACGCTCAAGGGCTGAATCTGACTTATTTGTGTTCTTCAAAATCAAGGCCCACCCTAGCTGGCTGGAAGGCTAGGAAGCCCGGAGGGGTTGACATTCAGTTCCTTGTGGAGCCTTTGTTTTGAAACTTGACTCTTTCCCTCCTCTTTACTTTTTCTAGCCCAGCGTCTGGCTGGCTGACTTTCCCACCTTGTTCAAGGTTTAAAAGTTTAGTTTTGGCACTGCCCAGCGCGGGCAGGCGGACGGACGGGAAGCTGCTATAAGGATTTTCTTATAAAAAGCAGTGAGGGAGGGGGAGTAGGGGACTGACTGGTGACCTTGATTTTTAATGGCTCCCTATACTGATGTCCAGGAAAATAAATATTGATTAGTACTGGTCTGGCTTGACTACCAGCAAGTAGCCCTTTGACTTCCCTTCCCTGGACTTCATCGGCTGCCCCAAGCCCTAGCATTTTTTATCGAGATCTTGGGTACTGGCTCACCTTAACCTTTAGTTATCTTTGGTTATTCTTTGGCCTTAGGAAGCATAGAAGTCTCAGTGTGCTATCCGGGCTTGCAAAGGTTGTCTTTGTTATGGATGTCATTTGATTCAGCTGAGCGTTGTGGCCTGAGGTATCTTGGGAATGTAGAATTGAAAATAAGTATCTTTGCTTTCTTGGAACTACATGTTTCATTGCCAGTTTAATTTGACTCAGACGGTGTTGTGGGTGCTCAGGCCGACCCCAAAATCCCAAGAAAGCTAGAATCCTTTCTGTCCCAGAATTCCAAACACTAGGAGACAGAGTCACTGGTATTATGTAGAAGTTTTAATGGGGCTGGGCCTGTCCTGTTGTTCCTGAAGGGTGTTAGAGCTTAGGCCTGAGATCTTAGCAGTAGTATTTTTCATCCTTTCAATTCCCAGCTTGGCATTGGTGGAGATTCTGGCATTCACATGTCAATGTAATTTTCACAGCACTATCAAAACTGGAGCCTGATTGATAGGAAAGGCAAATCTACACTTTGAAAGTTCCAGTCTTTGAAATTGTCTGATTGTCCTTAGCCTTTTGGGTAAGAGGTGTGTGTGTCTGTGTTGGATGTCTTTAGAGAAAAAGTGATCATTGTGTAGTGTGTAGTGCTTCCTTGGGGGTGAGTGATGAGTAAAATGAGAATTGGAGTCAAACACAACCTTAACATGTAAAGTATCTAGCATATTGAAAGTCAAAAAAAAGTCATATAGTACTGTGATTTATCTGGCCTGCTATACATGTCAGCGACCTGGAACAAACTTGAAACTCACTTTCTGTGTGTGCATTTATTTTACTCTTAGGTCTACTGGTTTCTAACCAAGACATGAATGATTTTTTTCTAGTACATTCTTTCTCAAGGGATTCAACAAACGCTTGCCATCTGAAAATGCAAGATTTTTCCATTGCTAAACTCTGGAATTTAACGCATTTGAATTGGCTTTCATTTTTCATCATATGGTGTTTGGCAATCCAGTTTACATAATGTGGAAAAGTGTTAAGGAAATTTAGTGTGGCTCTTTCATTAAGTTAGAATTAAATATTGATTGATTTTGAAGGTGGTCAGAAATTGTTGAGAAGATCATTGTTTTTTTAAGCATCTGACTTTTCTGGTTCAAAGACCTTCAAAGGAAATGATGTATTAGGAATGTCCTAATGGTGGTGTACTTTTTGATCTGGGAAGTATTCAAGTCTAATAAAGTATATCTTTCTCTAATATAACTCTTAATTATGGCCCATTTACTCCCTAACAATGTCTTTGGACTCTAATTAAAGAGAATAAAGCTGGTTCCTATGATTGGGTAAAACATAAACATTGAGACTATTCTTAATACTGAAACTCCCACTCAGTTTGAAAAGAAAGTTTAGTAGTAATTTGCTTAATATTCTGGCACTGATTTTTAAACTCTATTTTTAAAAATCTGTGTCCTCCACTTCCCTTTTCAATCTAAACCTTTGGTGGGTTTATATACAATTACAATTTGGGATCATGGGGTAGATTCCAGTAGAGACTGAGAAGAATAATGCAGTGGATGTCACCCCTTCCCCACTGTGTTTTCTTTAGGAAGGGGTGGGGAGCTCTGTAACCTTTGTTTCACATCTGAATACAGGTCTTGGGTAACAGCTGACATGAGGGAAAGGGACTGTTTGAAAATTTTCTAGGTTAAAATCCAATGCTTGCTTACTTAGTTTTAAAGTGGTCAAAAATATTCATCATTTGGACAGACCTTTAAAAAAAACTGTCAGTATTTTTCCCTTGGGAAATCGCTCTTAAAATAGGAGACAGAGGGACCCGTTTGAGTTCATATGTAGGTGAAAAGAATTAAGTCTAGCTAAATGTCAACACACATTTTTTCTGGCTTAAAAGCATATTTGGAACATCTTCATACTACTTTTTGTAATGGAAATGCTATTGCCAGTGTTTAGGAATAATGCTTTATTTTTTCTGAAACATATGAGGCTCTATGCAACAAGACTTGAAATAATTCCCAGCCATTTTTTTTGTCAATAGGTGTATAACTCAAATGCATCATGCAATTTGTGAATATTAGAGAAAGATATAGTCAGGTTCCAATAATACTCTGAAAGTTTCTTAGTTTAGATCGAAGCTGGGAATATATTTTTCTAAAAATGAACACTTTTCATCAGTTAAACTTAGATTTTGAGTCAATTTTAGCTTCGAATTTGCTGAATTTTCTTTCTGAAACAACAATAGGGACTCCCCACTTTCCTTTTTACTCTGTTCAGTGAAATTCCTGTATTATGAATTTGAATTGCTCACTTACCCTGTGAGCTTGCCCTTTCCCCTATCTAACAAAGGTTTCACATTATCTTCAAGTTTTGGTCTAAGGGTATTAGCCTGTCCATCAAAGCCATTTCTAGACTCTTTTAAACTTTATTAACCCCTTTGCAATTTTTTTGGCATTCGAGTTTTCCTACTTTTAGCTATTTACCACTTATATTTCAACCCTTTCATCTTCTCCCTGTGCCAGCCTTCTTTTTTCTTTACTTACAACAGTAGGGAATTTTATTTTGTATTATGTATTCTTCAGATGGAAGTTTCCACCATCTCCAAAGTTGGTTAACTGTGTGTGTGTATGTGTGGGTGTGCACGTTTAGCATTGGAAATCGGTGCATCTAGTAGTGACTTACTTCTTGAAGTAAAGGTAGCTACCTATTCTGAGAGCAAATCCTTTAGCTTTAGTGAAAGATAAAAGTTAATAGGTTTTCAGAAATATACCTAGAAAGCACTGATTCATTTTAGGTCCAGGACAACCCAGTGGCATATTGGGGTAAATTAAATTAATGGCATAAATCCAGAACTTTAAGGGAAAGATACAAAATTATGTCTGGTGCAATAAGTTAGCCAAGTAGTCCCAGAGATCTAAAACACATCACATGCATGCTCGACATCTAATGTGAGGGCAGTCTGTGAGATGTACATTATCTGGCTCCGGGGCAAACTCACTTTCTCTTTTCTTCAAAATTCCATAGCAGTTTTTTTTTGGTTGTTGTTTGTTAATGAGACCATGGCTGGATCTCCTTGAGTTGGGACGTTTGTGTCTTATTTATCTTTCTTTACCCTCATCTGGCTTTAGGTCTTGTACATAGCCAGCAAATACTCAGCAAATATTTGAATATGTGAATGAATGAATGAGTGAATGAATACATTATTAGATGCTCCCTGTGGGTTCAGGAATCCTATCTCTGGTGTAATTATTTCATATTCCTTCTCAGAGTATGAGCTCTTAAAGGGCTGAGATAATGCCTTTTAACCACGAGTATCACATATCATAATGCCAGTATTAAATTTATAAAAACTTTTCATCTTTTTTTTCTAATGTTTATTTTCTTGTAGGTGTGTCTTATAAATAGAATTCATCCAACATAGATATGTATAACAAGAAAGTAAAAAAAAAAAGTAATTCCATGCTCTTCTGTCTGGCCTTAGAGGTAATCATTGTTAAGAATAAAATTGTTGGGCCGGCCCTGTGGCTTGGTGGTTAAGTGCACGCGCTGCGATGCTGGTGGCCCGGGTTCGGATCCCGGGTGCGCATCGAGGCACCACTTCTCCGTTCATCCTGAGGCCGAGTCCCACATACAGCACTAGAAGGATGTGCAACTACGACACACAACTATCCACTGGGGCTTTGGGGGGAAAAATAAAATAAATAAAATCTTTAAAAAAAAAAAAAAAAAGAATAAAATTGTAGTAAAAATATTTTTAAAATGCTATTTTATGCTTTTGATTTTTATTGAGTAATAGGTTTAATTTTTTTCCTTAAGTACAAAGGAACATCACACAATTTGGAAGCTGGAAAGAATCTTAGATACGTATTTAAAAAAACACGTTATGTACTGTATGCCACTTATTGCTTGAGGATAGTTTCACAGTAAAAAATGCCCTGTGTTGCAGGGGCGTGATCTTCACTGCAGTGGAGAGGCGGTCCTGTGGAGTTCAAGGAGTTGTAGAGAACCCTCTAAAGTCGTATGTGCGCCCAAAATGCCTCTCACATAAGGGAAGAAAACCTTTCAATTATTACTATATGCATGTATGAAATACTTTCTTAAATGAATCAATTTTTAAAAAATGGATATAGCTGTTATTTGTAAAATAAAAATTGTCTTAATAAGCATTTTGGAAATTGTTAATTTTTTTTTTAACTAACAGGTACTTAAAGGACAGCTTTTCCCCTTTTCCCTTGTGGGAAAC